CCCCCGCAACAAAAAAATTAAAAACTTGAAATAAAGACCATGAGAGGTTGTTTATGCAAATCTTCTCCAAGTTAAACATAATTATTTTTGGTTTATCTTACATGGCAGCCTTTCCATGATGTTCTGTACTTTCTTTCTACTGATCTGGTCAGTCATTCTTGAAGAACGATGAAGTAGTTTAATTACAGTCACACTACTGGATACTTTTCCTATCACTTCAGAGATTTCACCTCCAACATCTGAAAATGAAGTGGATGATGACTTTCAAATACCTTCCTTCATCTGGCAAGGTGACACCCACTGGCTTATAGCTGGCAGCAGAGTCACAATTTAATCTTTCAGTTTCTTGGAATCACATTCCAATGGATGACTTCTGTGAACATTTCAATCTTCTAGGAAGCAGTGCTTTTTAAACAGAAGATCAAGTAAGTAAAACAGACTATAGACTAAGAGCTGATACCTAAGAAACTGGCAGGAGTAAAACATTTCAAAAGTTAAAGCCATCTTTAAACACGTAAGCACTGATTATATTAACATATTAGGGTCGTTTCTAATTTAATAATCTGACTAATTCAGTATTTCCTGGATAGGAATCCCAAGCACAAATACAAAAAAGTAAGATAGAGTTCCCTCTTTCAAGGGCTTTATAATCTAACTAAGGAGAAACAGAAAATGCCTTTAAAATTATTCTTAGAAGAAAAGAAGCTAACCCAGGCTTGGGAATCACAGAAGCTTTTCAAACAAGTCCAGAGAGAGTTGAAGAGGTTGGGAGGAAGCAAAGGCACCTCTATGGCCCAGAACAATATGGACAAAGGCAAGAAGACAATGCTGTGGAACATGCATGTTTTCATGAAAGGGACGGTCTGAAAGAGCAGCAGGAAGTCAAGTGGGCTGGGTACACCAGGCCACCTTAGGTGTCCAAGCTTGATCTTAATAGTAATGAGGGGAAGGATATAATTTTTGGCAGAGCAGCAAGACAGATGATATTTAATTAAAACTTATCTGGTCACGTTATACCTGTTCGATTAGAGAAGGTGACCAAGATAAAGGTTACTGAAAGGTTGAAGTAATTAAGACGTGAAGCAAAATCCATCAGGTTAACAAGGTGACAGGGGATGGATTCTAAACCAAACTCCCTGCCATCCAGTTATTTCTGACTCATAGCAACTTCTCAGAACAGAGCAGAAAAGCTCTGTAGATTTTCCAAGGCCATGAAATCTTTTGGGAAGCAGATTGCCACATCTTTCTGGTAGATTCCAACTGTCGACTTTTTGATTTGCAGCTGAGCACTTAATCACGCCAACAGGCTACTTGAGAATGGTTATGGCACAGAAAGACACACAACTTTCTAACAGATCTGATAAAAGTGATAACAGACTTCCCCCTCCACTCA